GAATGCATCAAGTTGCAATAGTAGCTGATATCAAGAAGGCATTCTTACAAATAAGCCTTAACAAAGCAGATCGAGATGTAACTCGATTTTTATGGATCAAGGATCTCACTAAGGAAATACAGATTTCCAATTTAAAGATTTATCGTTTTCAGCGAGTGGCCTTTGGAGTAATCTCGAGCCCGTTTCCGTTGACCGCTACAGTAGCTCACCACTCAAAGGAGGAAGAGGAGGAGGAATGTAGACAAGGCCGGGAACGTCAGGCAAACATCATCAAGGACAGCTTGAACGATATGTATGTCGACAATTTTATCTCAGGAACAAAGGACGTGCAGCGTGCTACAGAAAATTATGAAATAATAAAAAATGTATTCGAAAGAGCCTCGATGAATTTAAAAGATTGGCGCTTAAATAGTCGGGGATTTAAGAAACAGCTTAACAAGACCGATTGTTCCAAAGGAAATTCAATAAAGATCTTAGGTCTCATACGGCAAAAGGGTAAAAAAATCTTAAATATTCATCTGGACGACAGCAGTATTAGTAGCAATACATTAGTAAACGAAAGGCAAATTCAACAACGACTAGCAAAAAACCATGATCCTTTAGGTTTACTGCCTTCAGCTATTTTACCAAGTAAACTACCAGTTCAAAATATATGGCACCGACGGTATAATTGGGATCAACCAGTACCTACCGAAATTAACCTAAGCTAGAATAGATTATTAGAGGATTGAAATAAGGCAAAGGAAATTGAAATCCTTAGGCTAATTCGGGACAAGGAAGAGAAAGGGAAATGGCAACTTCATGTTTTTGTAGACGCCTCCCCTTTAGTTTATGCTGCTGCAGCCTAAATTAGATTTGCGAGTTACACCGCTAATGCGGACTATTTAGATTCTATAAATCCTCGCATCTCCCCCTCTCTAATTTTTAGTAAAAATAGACTCTATAAAGGAATGACAGTTCCTCGTCTTGGAGTTATGGCACTCTTAACAGATGTTAGAGTAGCTAAGTATTTGATTGATCAATTAGGGATTCCGTTTAAAAGGCACATCATATGAAGTTACTCTAAATGTGCTCTTGATTGGATTTCAACTAATGAATTACTGCCAGTATTCATTGAAAACAGAGTTAGAGAGATAAGAAATCATGAAAATTTATCATTTTATTACGTAGGGACGGCAGAAAACCCCGCCGACTTAGCTACTAAAGGATCAAGCCTAAGCGAACTAACAGTTAATGAATTATGGTGGAAGGGACCTAGGTGGCTAGCTTCAGATCAAACTAAGCGACCAGCGCAAGAACACCTAGAGAAACAGTCAGAAGAAACGCTAAAAATTAACGTTATACAAGCACTTAGTAATGAGTCTAGCTGTGGTAATCTTTTGTCGGTAGTCAAAGTACGCGACTTCTCCTCCCGGATAAGATTAAAAAGAGTAGTTGCCTATATACTACGCATTTTGTATGTGAGTCTTTCGAGTAAATTCAATGAATCATTAAATCTGAGTACGATAAACTTAACAATTTATTTTGCTATTGTCAATCTGAAGAAAGATTAACTCGTAAGGAAATAAATATGGCAGGCAAATTACTCTTTAAGAATGACCAACAAATTTACTTTGGTCAATTAATACGTTCCATACAAACTAAGGCAAGAAACAAATTGAGAGAGAGAGTTTAGGAGTTATTATTAAAGATGATTTATCAAGATATGAAGAACGTTACTCAAAAATGAACTTACATGATAATGCAAAATGCCCTATCTTAATGTCCCATAAGAGTAGTATATCTAAATTACTAGTGCAGCATGCTCACAAAAGGGCACTCCATTCAGGGGTCCAAAGCACGGTAACAGAATTGAGAAAATTTTTTTGGATTCTTAAGGGGAGATCATCAGTAAAGAAAATTATCAAAAAT